CACACACACACACACACACACACACACACACACACACACACACACACACACTCACTCTCTCTCTCTCTCTCTCTCTCTCTCTCTCTCTCTCTCTCTCTCTCTCTCTCTCTCTCTCTCTCACACACACACACACACACACGCACACGCACACACTCACACACACATACGCTCATGTGCACACCATTACACTTACACTCTCTCACACATCCTCCTTCACACATCTGTACACATAAACAATTATTTATACAATTTTATCTGTGCACTCACAAACAGGCTCCCAGTCACATAGGTAAAATATAAATGAGCTTAAAATCTAAATGAATTGTTTCCTAATTGACAGCTGATTACCCTACCTTGTGCTGAGTTCTTTTTCATATATTCTTAATTTCAAAGCTGGTTACTTTGTTCATTTTGACTTGTTATCACTTTCATTGCATAGGCCACCAGAGATTATTATAATATTATGTTTGCAAAGTCTGAGCTTATTTTTGTTGTTATAATTCAAAACAGCATTTTGTATCATGTTGAACTAACTTTTACATGAATGTATTTCCAGCTGCAGCCCTTGTCACCGCACTCAACAAATTCCTCTCTACAGGTATGTGTATAATGTTTTCATTTTACCTTAACAAATATTGAATGACATTTACTTTATTTTGTATCATAACTGTGGGATATCAAAATGCATTTTTACTTTGGAAAGAATACAGAATACAGTCGAACCTGCCTTAACAGAAACCTGTGTAAAACGGAAACCTGTCTTAATGGAATCTCCCCGCTCCCCCCTTGATATATTCCTCTTTAATTACCTGTATAAAACGGAAACCTGTCCAACGCGGAAACGGAAAGAAAAATCTGCTACGTTCCGAGGGTTTCACCTGTCTAAGACGGAAAATGCTTTGCCCGCTCAGCTCTGATTTGAAACAAAACTCACAAGTTCCGTTCCGCCGGCTCTAAACTTAACACCATGGCCATGCCGCTGGGCGAGAAAGGTGGAGGGATGCAGTTTGGGAGTAGATGTTACCCCATCATGTGCGCCCTGAGCGATGCAGATGGGCAGTGTAGTGTGGGTGTGAATGATATCTCACGACTGCCCGTGAGAGTGCTCGAGTAACGAGCCACTATGGAAACTTTCCTGGGTAGCCAGAAGCCAGAGGTGTGAAATTAGATTGACCAATGCCTGTTGCCCTGATCATACGGCCAGCTGAGAAAAGAGTTCCTTGAATCGTTGTTACAATGATGGCAGTGAGGGGTGGCATTGGTGGGTGGGACTAAGGGTGGAAGCAAAGGAAATGTTCAAATGTTTCTGTTTTTAATAGGTCAAACAGTGGTCCTATGAAAGGCAAGTACTGGTGGTAATTAGATACATAAGACTGACGCATGTCATTATCAGACAGGATAGCAGCTGAGAGTTGTGAAGTTTTGACCACTGCTTGCCGATCGGACAAGCGATCCTTGGTCCCGCAGACTGGGCCTTTGAACCCCCCCCACCCCCTCACCCCCCCCCCCCCCCAACTTCCACCTCCCCCCTAAATTCCCCTGTCTAAGACGGAAAATATCTCAAATGGAATTTTTTTCCCGCTCCCTTGCGATTCCGTCTCACACAGGTTCGACTGTAATTGTAATACTTAATGCAGTTTTTGCACATTATGACAAAAGTTGGATTTTAATAGATATGAGAGACTGCTCATTTAGAGTAGTTATGTAGACCAAAATATATGCTTTTTGTTGCTCTAAGGGGAAAATATGTTTGCCATGCAAACTTCTATAAATGATTTAGGTTAAGAATGTAAATCATGAAAATAATTTATACATCCTTACTTTCCACTACCTAGCCATACAAAAAGTGAAGAAACAAGGAATGAGCCTGTGTTGATAGTGAAGTAAAGCACCAGTGAATTATAACTTGCTTTTTCCTTTCAGTGGATGCATTGGAGCCGAGAATCTGGTTGAAATTGACAATGCTAAAGAACCGTTCCATCCTTATACAGTGAAACGGTCTGCCATTCCGAGACCTAGTGAAACAGCTCAGTGAGTAAAAGACTTTGTGTATTGTCATCTGTAATTAATTATTTAGGATGTTGTGGGTTTACAACATGCTGCAGGCAATAATTGCAGGACAGAACAGAGCAATGAACAATGATTAAAGAATCTTAAGTTCATTAAAAAAGCTCTCAGACCAAACATCGAAAAAAATCTAACTTTAATTATATTTGTGGTTGCCAAATTTTGCTATTCAAAAGGCTTTTTAATTTGCTGTATCGATTGACATGTGGTTTTCGCCAAAAGATTCTTTAAAATATTCTCCAGATCATGACGCGCTTCGTTTTTTCAGTTTTGAGACAGTTTTGCTGCAAAAAAGCTAAATTTCTTTATTTCGCCGATCGCTTTTGTAGGCCAACACTTTTGTCTCCGTAATTTTAGAAAATCCGCCATGTTTTCTTTTTTTACTTGGTGCTAAATAAATCGACTGTGATCCTTTCGTTTGATGCCCATCATCGCTTTTTCTGGACTCCTTTGTCAAATTCCTTTTCTTGCTACTGGGAACAATCAGCACTCTTCTGTACAACCACGAAAGCGGAATAGAGAATCAATCTATGCATCTATTATATATTTAATTTGGCAACTTGGAAACACATGTGTCACTTTTCTCTAAAGATTTATTGCTCCATTCCAGTAGAGTGTAAAATTTATATAGTAAGCCAATGACTTTCAGTTTATGTTATTGCACCGATCATTCTTTTCATCAAAAGGGGGGCCCAGCTAGTTAATAATATAATAACCGATATGACTTTCCTTTTTTCAGCCGACCCAACATTCCGTTGTACAGCGGATGCACTCTGTGGCAGGG